TTTATTTATTAAAGATTTCTGTCTCTTCCCCACCGCCCCCCCCCCTTTTCCTCCCCCCCCCCCCCCCCCCCCCCCCCCCAAGCCTGCCATACCTCTGAACACTTCTCTCCTGAGCTCTTCCTTCGGGAGATAAGATTATTGTGTAGTCTGGTCAGTGAGTGGCTTCTCAGATGTCCTGAAGGACACCTCTGGGATGTCCTTCAGGACCTGTTGCAAGTGCCCTGTGTGACCATTCCGTCCTCAGACACCTGTGTTGAAGTTGCCCTGCAGGATCCAACTCTGGCCAAGTTCCCACCCTGCCGATTACCAACTCAAAGAAAGACCTTTCTTTACCTAGTAGTGTCTGTTGAGTTTCCAGAGAGGGCAGTTCACAGAGGGTCCCAGGCTTCTTCAGGTGTCCTGTGTGCAACCTCTCTCTGAAGCCTCTCTCCTCTGTTCTCCAGAGTACCCATGGCTGGCAGCGCTTGCAGAGTTTCTGAGCTGATATGAGCCATCTCTCCCTCCTCTGGGTTAGCACTGCTCACTGACAGCCAGTCCCTTCAGGATAGATTCTCGTATTTCTCTCCTGCTTTGTAAAGTTCTTGACTTCATCTTGCTGTTAAATCTAGCAATGCACAGACATGGGCTACTCCGTCTAGTAATGACCACATACCTTTTTCCAGTGTGCTTCCTGCATGGTCTGGCGGCCCCCGGCCTGCATAGCTGAATCTCAAAGTCTCCACTATTCTTTTAGAAATGATTTGATTTTAACTTTATATGTATGGGTGTTTTGCCCTCATGTGTGTCTGTGTACCTGGTACCTACAGAGGTCAGAAAAGTGGATCAGCTCCCAGGAACTGGAGTTGCAGATGGTTGTGAGCCATCATGTGGGTTCTGGGAATTGAACCTGGGTCCCCTGGGAGAGCAGCAAGTAACAGTGGAGCCATCTCTCCAGCCCCAGGTTCTATTGTCTTTTAATGTTACTGTATGGAGAACCAAACCACATCTGAGCTACAGCCATATCCCAATTCTTTGTTTCCAAGTCAACACTGTGTCCCTCCTCTCATTTCTGAATGCGGTCATTGGACCTCACCTCAGCTTTTCTTGACAATTCTAGATAAATACTTATTGTGTTGGTTAATTTTCTGTCAGGTGACATAAACTGGAGTCTTTTTGGAAGAGGGACCCTCAATTGAGAAAATGCCTCCATAAGATTGGCCTGTAGCAAGTCTGCGTAATGCATTTTCTTGATTAATGATTGACATGGCCCAAGGAAACAAGCCAGTGGCCTCTGCTTCAGTTTCTGCCTCCAGAGCTGAAATAAACTTTTCTCCCCAAGTTGCTTTTGGTCATGATGCTTTATTACAGCAATAGAAAGCTTTAACCTTTCAAAGAACTTACTTTCGTTTTCTCCAAAGTCTTTCTGTGCTCTAGGGTAATTTTTATTACAATTATGATTTCCTTCATCCTGCTTTTTATTTTATTATTTTTAGTGCTTCACCACTTCCTCCATCCATAGTGTGGCACACATTGACCACGCATTCTGTCTGTCACTTAGGGAACCCTCTCAGCCCTTCCCATGGTCTTAAGGTGAACCGTTAGGTCATGGAATTGAGACCCTTGTTTAATATTTGAATCTATCAATTCCCTTCTAAGGATGTCTGAGTTACACTATGGTCTCCTTATTTTCATTAGCCTCAAAGTACCCAATGATTAATCTTGAATTAATATTTGCTGACCCATTTGTCACTTAAATTTCACATGTTTGAGTTTCCCAGTCCCTTCCATTTGTTGACTGTAACTTCATTCAGTACGTGACTTTGGCTTTTGAATGAGTTGAGTTTTGCTTTGTGAAGCAGTGTCTCCATCCTGGAGGCTTCTGGCATTTTCACTTTGATGTCTCTGTTAATGAATTTCTGTGATTATTCTGCTTGGAAATTGTTGAACTTTCTGTTAATTATTATTTTTCCATAAACTTATGTCGTTTTCAGCGTTGTTTTTTGAAATTTTTTTCTTTCTTATCATTTCTGGAAGTTTCCAATATTTTAGTTTTTCAAAGTTAACTTATTGTTTTCATTGGGGAGTAGGCTGTACTGACTCTGCACAGTCATGCCAGAAGCCAGTTGCTGAGAGGATTTTTAAAGTTAATTAGCATTCTACAAGAAGGTCCCCCTAGCGCAGGAGTGAACAGCATGTGTGTTTACAGTGGAGACAGAATTTTGCAGGCAGCCTGTACAGTGTCCCACGGGCATCATGCTAGTTGACATCTGTCTAGTAGTTAGAATGGCTGTCTCAACCTAACCAACCTATCAGGAGCTCAAGGCTTTGAGTCACTTTTGCCTAAGTTCTTAAATCTTCTCAATACCCACACTTACCGTGTCCCTCTTTCATCTCACCGACGGTGACTTGTATATTCAACTCACATTTCTTTTTTTTTTTTTTTTGAGTGTTTTTTTTTTTTTCAACTCACATTTCTTGTGTTTATTTTGCCTGCTTTTTTTCCCTACAGGACACTCCAAGGACATATATTTGACATGATTCACCAATGGCTTTTGAAGATAAACAATGAAATCACCAATGGTAACATTGAACTTCTTCGACATGTATGTATTTGTATGACTTTGCAGGGTTCGATTGTGCTTTGGTTGGGGGATTTTCTTTAAGGAAAAACAAGGCCCCCTGAAGTACAAACTGGAAGCTTATATAATAATTATTCAAATTATTCAGTGGAAAATTTAAAAAATTATCCGAGTGGGCATCACATGGTAGGACTCAATATTTGTCTTGTGACACAAGGAAGAACATTCTAGCACTGTGAGAATCTCATGACATTGCTATAGCAACCCTCGTCAAAAAGTGCTCCATTTACTGTTAGGAGTTCAGATCCCTGGAGTCATGTATTTATTTCCTTTGTAGTCTAGATTCACCCTTTGTCATAGGAGCACTTGGAAATGCCCTTATGTGCTCCTTTGTTAACACTGAAATATTGCCGTGTAGTTAGTCCACGGAGGAGATGGGAGAGACTAGCAATGCCTTCGGGGAGTGGGGGGTTTGTCTTTCTGTCCATCAGCTGTGCTTTCTTCTTTGTTCCATTTGCTCTGTGCTATTTGCCTGTTGGCAACATTTGTCTGTAAACTTTTTCTCCTTCCTTCCTTCCTTCCTTCCTTCCTTCCTTCCTTCCTTCCTTCCTTCCTTCCTTCCTTCCTCTCTTTCTTTCCTTCTTTCTTACCCATGTGTGTGGTGTGTGCCTGTCTGTATGTGTGTATGCATGTTTGCAAGTATACATATGAGCATGTGTGCAGAGGTCACAGGTTGATAGTCGATGTCTTCCTTAGTCTCTGTTTGCTGAGGAACACTCTCTCACAGAACCAGGGCCTCAAGGATTCGGTCACTAACTCAGCTAGTCTAACTAGCCAGCTTGCCCTGGGGATCCTGTTTCTTCTGAGCACTGGGGCACAAGCAGGTCACTGTGCCTACCCAGGTTCTACCAGGATTTTGAACTCTGGTCTTCAGACTTGTGCAGCAAGTGCTTTATTCTGTAATTCTCTTAGCAAGAAAAATTGAAGAAAAAGTTATTTCTAACTTGTTACTAATTTGCACATCTGAAATATTAAAATGCTTTCTGTTATAAAACATATATAAAAGTCAAGAGATTTTTTAAAAACTCAATATTTTAAAATAATTTTGAAATGGTTCAAAACACTGATGAAATCAGGGATTTCTCCAGCCCTGCTTCTTAAGCATTTGTAACTGCAGGTGGAGTTCACCATAAAGCCTCTGGGGGTCGCTCCAGAGCTTAGCTTACTTTGATGCCTTTTGGCAGACACCACAGCTCACAGACACAGATCTGAAGGGATGCTCATCATTAGCTGTATTTGTTTCTGCGTCTGTGGACTATGCAGTGGGTTCTTTTCCACCTGCCACCATGTCCATTTGTTCTTCATGCAAACTGTAGTCAGAGTAGCCTTTCTGCAGTTTATGAATGTTTCTCAGTTCGTTGAATCATTTTCTATTTGTAAGACTTTATAACAGATTAGAAAGTCACTTTCAGGCTGTTGTGTAAAGAAGTAACTCAGAGGGGTGTGGTAGTCCCAGCACTTGGAAGGCTCCGACAGGAAGATGATCATCATCAGTTCAAAACCACCTGTGCTACGCAGTGGGTTCCAGGAAAGCCTGGGCTACAAAGTAAGACCTTGTCTTGACATACACACACACATGTGCACACACACGTTCCAGGAAAGCCTGGGCTACAAAGTAAGACCTTGTCTCAACATACACACACACACGCACACACACGCACACACACACACACACACACACACACACACACACACACACACACACACGTCACAGCCAACACCCGGC